GAAACAATTGCTATCAAATTGCTTTTTTAGGGTAAGCCTAATTGTTTTTTAAGGATAAGCTGCAGGGCTTATGGAGGACTTCAGGAAACAGGAAAACATCTGCTGCTGAAGACCCTGAGGAGTAGCCCCTGGCAGGCACCTGGGAGGCAGAGGTATTCCAGTTTCTTCCCCCTCTTCTAGTAAGTGCTAGGCGCAATAGGTCTGGACAATGGCACCTCTTTTTCCCATCCAAGTTCTGGCCTATGAGTCAAAATAGTCAGCAGAGTGAACTGTAATTAATTAAGCTGATATTTTAAAGTGTGCATCATATGTGTAGACAATCCTATTTTGAGTCCCAGAATGAGGCAGCCTCATACTGCACCGGTGGAGGGACAAAACAGAGCACACCCCCTAAGGACAGCTTTCTGCAGAGGAGCTCCTGCAGCTGGCCCCAGCTCTTGGAAGCATGGTGGCCAGCAGCATCCGGAAGGCAGCAGTTCCCTTGACACCCTGCTGGGGAAGTGCCTTCTTCATGCAGAGCCTTCAGCAAGACACCTCCTTGTGCACACCTTCCCTGGCATCCCTGGGGGGCATATTCCAGCAAGTTCTCCACAGGGACTTCCTGCCAGGCACTGGGCCAGGGCCACGCTGTCTTCAGCAAGGTCTGGACTTAGCCCTGAGGAGGGGCTCTTCCTCGGGCGCTCTGTCTCGGGAGTCGTGGCTGCTCCCTACCTCTGCCCTTCCAAGTCTAGGATTCTACAGGCATTTGACTGTCTTATCTCTAACCTTCAGGATCTGGAAGCGAGATCATTTTTGTATTGATTGGGTCCAAGGAGAAATGCTGAGATACCATGTCACACCCACTAGAATGGCACCATCAGAAAGATTACAGGTGCTGTGGAGGGTGTGGAGAAACCAGAACCCTGGTACACTGCTGGTGGGAACGTAGAATGGCGCAGCTGCTTCGGACAGCAGTCTAGCAGTTCCCCAAGCAGTTAAACACGGAATTTCTGTACTGCCCAGCAATTCCCCACCTAGGCATGTACCCAAGAGAAATGAGAACATATGTCTGCACAAACACTGGGACATGAATGTTCAGAGCAGCATTATTCATCAGAGCCAGAGTGGAGACAATCCAAATGTCTGCCAACTTATGAATGAATAAGCAAAACGTGGTCTCTACTAAAAATCAACACTATTCAGCTCTAAGAAGGCATGAAGCACTAACACATGGGCCAGCAGCATGGATGAACCTTAAAAACATTATTCTGAGTGCAGGAAGTCAGGCATGAAGGACACATATTAGGCCAGGCATGGTGGCTTCATGCCTTTGGGAGGCTGAGGTGGGAGAATTGCTTGAGGCCAGGAGTTTGAGACCAGCCTGGGTAATGTAGCAAGACCCCGTCTCTACAAAAAATAAAAAAATAAGCTGGGAACAATCATGCACCCTATAGTCCTAGCTACTTGAGAGGCTGAGGCTGGAGGATCACCTGAACTCAGGAGGTTGAAGCTACAGTGAGCCGAGATGGCACCACTGTGCTCCAGCCTGGATGACAGAGCAGGACCTTGTTTCTTAAAACCAAAGGTCATATATTGTATAATTCCATTTATATGAAAGTCTATAGAGACAGAAAGTAGATTAGTGGATGCTTGGACCTGAGTGAGGTAGGGCTCAGTGTATGGGGGAGGTGATAGCTTACAAGTATTGGGTTTCTTTTGTGGGCAGTGAAAATGTTCTGAAATCAATTGTGGTATGGTTGTGCAACTCTGTGACTATACAAGAAGCCACTGAATTGTTCATCCTAAACAGCTGGATTGTTTGGTATATGAATCGTACTTTAACAAAGCTGTCAAAAATAAATCACCCTGAGGGGAACCACAAGGAGAAACTCAGACCTAAGTGGGGAAGGTGGGAGGCCAAGTGTGCGCCAGGAACAACTGGCCTCCTGCCATGGCGGGGAGGGCATGAGTGTCCCCCAGCGAGGGGAAGGGAAGAGGTCCCAAGGCTGCCTCCCAGGAGCGGAGTGACCACGGGCCACCCCAGAGCCTCTCAGGCCTGTCCCCTCTGTAGCACGGGGACAAAGCTTCCTGTTTCACTGGGATGCAATGAAGCATCAGACAAACATCTTTAAAGCCCTTTGTAACATGAATTATATAAATAGTGATGAACAAATCCTTTTCGAAGAACACTTAACTCCCCCTAAAGGTACTGTCAATCATTTTTCAAAGGGAAATGATTCCTAAAAATTGACAGCTCTTTATTTGGGTCACATCGTAGCCATTTTCCTCTTCAGTATCAGGCAGCAGATATTTACTTTCTCACATTTTTCCATTTAATACAGTTTCTTGCAACTGTTTGGCCAGTAGATAGTATGGACATAAATCTATGGTTGCTTCTCTGGAAATACTCAAATAATTCACTCGCGAATCTCCAGACCACCATTGGATTAATGGACACTTTTCTAAGCATTTTTGTCTTTTCAGTAAATAAAACATTTTGATAATATAATGTTTAAAGGGGCTAAGTGAGTGCAGTTTCAATGGCTCTCGATGCATGAAACACCTTTCTCTCAAGGATGTAGGATATATCTGCTTTTGGAATAAAAAGTAGAAGTGACACTTAGAGAAGGTCTTGTTTTTAACAAATTTCAAGATTCCTATTATGTAACATATTGCAATAGTCTGAAAAAAACTTTAGACCTGATTAAAAAAAAAAAAAAAACTGGTCCCAGATTACACAGGCTGAAACAACTATTTCCCACGCCTGTTTCCCACTTGAGAAGATCCAGCTCCATGCATGAGTGGGAATAGTTCCTCATACTTTGCAAAGGAGTCTCAGGGTCGTTTCTGTCTCCATAACCTCTCTGAGAAAGTGATTTGTGCTCTTCTGACACAGGAGGACGCGGAGGCTCAAGTTCACAGCACCAGCAGTTCGTCAGACCCGTTCAGTCTAGTGTTTTACAAGATGCCACTTTCGCTATTTGTTGATTTCTGTCACTTCCATCAAAAGCAGCTAGTGGCATGCCAGCCCAGCTTCTAACATAAAGCAGTCTGGACGTGTGCAAACGTTCATGCCACCTCAACTTAGGCATTTCTCTGATCATGGGTCAGTCTTGGGATGTGGAGCTGTCGAGATGGCCCTTGTACCCCTGGAGATTCCACGAGGAACTGAGCTTGCAGAGACAGAGGTGAGCATTGGCACTTTACCCAGGAGTCATCGGCCTTCTAGTAGAACACCACTCTGATTCCTCTGCGAGATCACCCTCTCCTAGCACGTCCGGAGGCGTTGACCTCACACTTGCTTCCAGGGTAACCTGACTGGCCTGAGCCATGCAGGGTGCTGCGGGTATTAGCATGGTGACTGCTGCGGGCTGCTTTGTGCTGCTGTAACACAATGCCAAAGACTAGGTAATTTACGATGAGCAGAGATGTATTGGCTCATGGTTCTGGAGGCTGGGAGGCCTAAGGTAGAGGGGCCAGCACCTTGCGAGGGCCTTTTGGCTGTGCCATCACACAGCACAAGGACTCAGATAGGGGTAGAGAGCAAAAGGCCAAACGAGTCCTTTAGTAAGGAGGCCCCTCCTACAGTAACAGCATTCACCCAGTCAGGAGGACAGAGCTCTCATGGCCTGATCACCTCTTCAAGTCCTGCCTCTTACCATGTTACAATGGCTATTAAATTTCAACACGAGTTTGGGAGGAGACAAACATTCAAACTGTAGCACTCATCTCTCAGTATGGGTTCCCATAAGCAGCTCACATGCATGAGTCACCGGCAGCTACTGTTAGGATTTCTGGGGGAAATCCAGACCCTGCAGTTCTTTCTGCAGGACTAGAAGCTCAAAGAATGCATTTCTCACCGTTCTGATGGAGGAGTTGAGAGTCGGAGCCACAAGCCCAGATAGCACTGAGTGCTGGGTCCAGCTGTACCTGAAGCCACTACTCTTGTCTTCGTTTTTTATTTTTACTTTGAAATGATAGGAGACTTAGAAGATGCAAAAGTCATAGAGGGTCCCGATACACTTCACCCAGCTAACCTCTTACACAGCCACAGCACAATGATCAGAACAAAGAGATTCACATCTGCATAAAACCAACTACAGATTTCCTCACGTTTCATCTATTTGGGTTTGTCTGATTTTTTTCCATGATGAGTGTGATGTTCCCAAAACTGGCATGTCCTCCTCAGGGAGTGGTCTCAGGAGTGCCTGATGTGGATGTGTCGTTACCACTGAGGTTCATTTTGATCTGAGGGTGGCGCCTGCCAGGTCTCTCTACTGTGAAGTTACTGTTTTCCCCTTGGGAAGTGCTTTCAAGCTATGCACATATCCCATTCCTTAAACCTTTGCCTACCAATTTTAGAGTGTGTCAGGGGTCTCACCTGCAGCAGCAGGTGCCCCAGCTTTGATCTCCCACCTCCCACCTCCCTCCCACATTAGTGGAGATTCTTCATCAAAGCGCCCCTTCTCACCCGCTTTGTCACTTGATTTATTTATATTAGTATAGACTTACGGACCGTTATTTATTCCTTGGTAAAAATTCAACACTATTGCTATTTTCTTACTCCAATTGCTCCCCGGGGCCCCGTAAGCTCTTCCAGGCTGGCTCCTGTGTCCCTGGACGCAGCAACATGCCTTCAGGAGCGCGTCCTTACGTTCTGATGTGAGAGGCTCAAGACTCATCTCACATTTTCCCTGCCTCACCCTGGAACCAACCACTTCGAGGAGCCTTTTCCTTTCACTGAGTTTAACTCTGTCCTTTTATGTCAACTGGGCCAATCAATGTTTAAGCCAGCTGGACTTCCTGTGACCCCACAGCTGTAAGGAGCAGGGACAGGGACACTTCTTGGGACATGCAGGGAGCTGAGTGAGCCTCTACTTGTGTGGACGAGGAAGGGAGTGCTCGCCTGGGAAGACCTGGGTGGTTTCCCGGGTCCTGCCTGCTGTCCCTGCCCTGAGCTGACACCATCAACCAGAACCTTTCAACAAGCACGGTGCGCACGCCATGAGCAACTCAGACAGAGCGGTTCTTTTCGACTTTTTATTGAGGAGCACAGACTGAGAGAAAATCATCTTCCGGTTAGGTGAGGTTTTGAGGATCATACTAAAGAGAAGACAGGAAAACACCAGTCATGGCGAAGGTCTTGAGAAAAGGACAGGACCTGCAGATAGTGAGAGCTCAGGGGAGGTCCCGGACTTCTTCCCTCATTTCCTTTCCAAATGTCCCAAACGTGCAATGCATCACCTGAGACAAGGCAGAAAGCATCAAGCTCTCCGTTCACCTCAACTCAGTGACAGGCAGAACTTGTTACTTTTGAGATGGGACCTGGTTCTGCACCCAGGCTGGAGTGCAGTGGGGGCAGTCACGGCTCACTGCAGCCTCCAACTCTGTCTCAAGCAACCCTCGTACCTCCATATCCTGAGTGGCAGGGACGACAGGCATGCACCACCACACCTGGCTCATTTTTAAAAGGCTCTTTGTAGAGACAGGGCCTTGCTACATTGCCCAGGCTGGAGTGCAGAGGTGCGATCATAGCTCACTGCAGGCTCCAACTCTCGGTCTCAAGCGATCCTCCTGCCTCAGCCTCCTGAGTGGCTGAGACTACAGCCATACACCATCATGCCTGGCTAATTTCTTAAACTTTTCGTGGAGACAGTCTTGTTTTGTTGCCTAGGCTGGTCTCAGACTCCTGGACTCAAGTGATCCTCCTGCCTTGGCCTCCTAAAGTGCTGGGATTATAGGTGTGAGCTGCTGTGCCTGGCCAACAACCAGAACTTTCCATGGACCTTGTGCTTTTGGACCTTGGGTATTTTCTGCAGGTCAAGCCATCCCGACCACTCTGAGAACCTACCCAGGGTTACTCAGCTGTGACTTCAGGTCACTCATAAGAAGCCCACGGGGTAGCTCCACCCGTGGACAGCTGGATTCATTTGTGTCTGTTCTCCGAAGTCATGGATAACCTGACAGAAGGGGAAGGAGACAGGGACCCTCCACTTCCCCGGGCAAGTCGGGAAAGGGCGAGGCGAGGGCGGGGCTCCTTCTCGCCGGAAGTGCCGCGTGAAGCCGAGCCTACTCCTTCAGCTGGGAGACCTCATACAGGTACGCGGCCAGCATCTTGGTTCCCTCTATGTAGTTATGCCTAGTAGAGAGGAACACAGCATCATGTCAGCTGGTGTCGTGGGCCAACACCCAGGCGTGGGGTGACTTCTCCTGAGCCCAGACACACTCTGCCTTCTTCCTGGGGAGCACCCCTATCCCAGCCTGGGGGCCCTGAGCCCTGCTTGCTTTCAGAATTCAGCCCCTCAGTTCTTAAGTGCAGCTTGAGTCTGACTGTGGAGCCCAGAGACCAGTCCCGGTCTCCTAGTGCCCAGGCAGTAAATGTCAAGCTTGGATCGTGGGTTCCTCCCATTGCCCGCTTGTCCCTGAAGACCAGGCCTCCCCACCGCTCCCCACAGCCAGGCCTCTGTCTCCCCGTCTCTCCTTCCTGAAGGGTCTTTGCCTCTGTCTTAGGCCCTGATCGCCTGCCTTGGTTACCCCAGGATGCATCCTTGCCTTCTGCCCTCCTCAGCAATTCTAGGGGTCAGAGGCCTCTCCTAGGACTGCCCGAGACCCCTGCCTGCTGGGTACCTCCTGCTCTCAAGACTGGCTCAGAGGCTACACCCGCTCTGTTGTGGGAAGAATCCCCATCACGTCCCCCCAAGTCAGGGATGTGTCAAAGCAGCAACGCATACAGTTAGCAATGACACTGCAGTTTCTCAAAAAGGAAAGAGAAAAATGAACAGGAAAAAAAAAGGAAATGGAGAGAGGGTGGATGAAGTACAGAGACAAACAGAACCCTGCATGAACCTTGTCGTTAGCACCCCCTCCTGCAGGGCCCCGTCCTGCCTCCCCTCTGACGTTCTCACTTCACACAAATCCAGGAGGGCGGGTCATGGGGTCATCACCTCCGCCTGCTTCTCTTGGAGGTGAGGCTGCACACGGGGGAAGGGGGTGCACGGGGGCCAGAGGGAAGCTGTGCAGGAGACGCCAACCGGGGCCTCTCTCTGGCCTCTCACCTGTTGAGCTTCTCATTCTGGGAGTGGGCTCCATCATCTGCCGACCCCACAGGCAGCAGCATGACGTTCTTGCCTGTGGCCTCCTGGAAGGTCAAGGTCACGGGAATACTGCCGCCTTCCCTGGTCAAGTCTGGCTCAACACCAAAAACTGGGGGAAATGAAATAAAATAAATGGTGAGCTTTGGGGCTCCAGGGCTGGGGATCTGTCACAGACCGTGACTCAGTAGCACTCAGACCCTGGGCGAGGCCCTGGGCACAGCAAACCTCATACAAGGCCCGCCTTGGGGCCCGGGCTCATCCCACACACTGGCTGTCCTCATGCTGATTTAACTGCGTGCCCACGGGCCATAGCAGTGCCCGACGCAGCTACGCACCCATGAGATATAACAGAGTCCTGTCAGACACACAAAGGGCTCGACACGCGTCTGCAAGGGGAGTGTCCAACCTGTTTTCAGGGCTCTTCTCCCAGCCATGTAATGAGGGTGGCTGAAGTCAGAGACCCACGGCTTCCCACCATGGCCCATAGACACCTTGAACTTGTTGGGGCTGTGGAGTTCAGCAAACTTCTGAGTTAGGTAGCTTGTGACCTAAACCGCAAACAGAATGGAGACAAACGATGCTTTAGAAGCTCGGCATCTGATCCAAGCCTGTGACCTACGTGCGGGCCTGCATCGGCCTAGGACAGGTCTGCGATGGGCTATGCTGAGTCTACGATGAGTCTCATTTTCTGTTGCTTAATACTCAGCTACATAACTAGAGTAAAGAAATGGGATTTCTTATCAAAAAATAAAACCCAGTGATTTCAAGGTAAAAGGCAATGTTTTAATTTCAAGCAATTCACTCTTTCCAAAGATCTTCCAAATGATGATACTATTTAAATTAAGTTGGAAAATAATGTTCCCTGATCTGCTTTATATTAGGGACAGAATGTTTGCATGCCCCCAAAGCCCTAAACTCCATGTGACTCCATTTGGAGACTGGGACTTCACAGAAGTAAGGTGTGAGACAAAGCGACAAATGTGAGAAGCTGTGTGTGCCCCGTTCTGCTTGCCAACTTCTTCACAAGCTGGATCCTACCCCTACCTGCAGCTTCTGGGAAAGAAGCTTTGAAGACAAAATGGGAGGGCACACACTGCCCCATCTCTTGCCTGAATCGCTGCATTCCTTAGGAGATAAATGTTCGTGTTTGGTCTGGAGCCTTGGGGTGAGGTCAAAGGCCAGATTTTGGCCTGCCTCATCAGTAACTTCCATGGGATGCATTATCTCTGATTAGCTTCTGAACTGCGAATGTCATAATTACTGACTTGGCCGGAGCCAGGAAGTGGGACACACGTGGCTGGGTGTTTGCCGAGTAAGAGCCCTGGTTACCCAAGTCTCTGCCCAGACACCTTGGCCCCACCCCGTGTCCCGGCCCCACATGCCTGCTCGCTGACGACTTCGGGAGTCATGTTCGGCACGAGCCTGATGGAGAACTTGCCGACCACCTTCCTGGGAATCACGGTCTTGGCCCCCGAGCCAGAGAAGGCGCCTTCAATGCCATGGAGGGAGAGAGATGGGTACCGCCATCGGTGCATGAGGATGTCTTTCTGCAGAAAAATCAAGAGGGTCGGGGACAACTCAGGCACTCAGTTCCAGCCCCACCTGCTCACTGCGGAGATGGGAATGTTGTCTGGGAAATCAGCAATGTGAGGCAGGGGCTGGCTCAGTACCCCGACACCACAGGCCGGAGGTTCAGACACAGGGACGCCCGCTCCAGCACACTCTAGAGCTGCAGCGACCCAGCACAAAGGAGGCCCCTGACTGGCTGCGCAGCCTCAGGCGAAGCATCTCACTCCCTCTGGCTGCAGTGTGGGTGGCTCAGGTCCACCTGGTGGAACTGGGAGAGCCACGCTGGCCACTGAGTACCTGCAGAACTGGGGCTATCAAGGTCCCACAGATATTGGAGCTCCTGATGAGCCACAGGCACGAGGAGGAAGAGGGGATGCAGCCCAGGCTGTGTGCAGATCCCTCCCGGGCCCACAGGACACAGGTGTGCGGCCCATTCCTACTGAGAGAGCAGAGCCAGGCTGACCAGGTGCAGCCTGTGAATACCGATGATGCTGTCTCCTCAGACCAGGGGAGACCTCGTCTCCTGCTTCCCAAGTGTGTCATCAACACCATGACCTTCCTGCCTGCCCCTTCCTCGTGTCCCTGCAGCGGCAGAAGGCAGGTCAAGAGAGGAGGTGTGCCCCGAAGGAGCTTCCAGAAGGTTCCTCAGTGATTTAGCCATTGAATGTGTAGATTTCTGTTTGTGAACCGAACAGCTCAATGTTATCTAGGAGGCACCAACAAGGCCCTAAAACCCCTGCACAGAAGCGAACCCAAGTCTGAGAGAACAGGGCAGAGAAACAGACCCACCTTTTCCCCAGCCCCTCGGTCCATGGCATCTCTGTTCAGTCACTGCTGGTGGGGACCTTCTCTTCCTGTTCCAGAGGCTCCTCCCTGAGGGGCTGAGTGTCCCCAAACCCCCCTTGTCCCCCTGATGCCAGCCAAGGCTCCGGCGCCTGCAACAGCCTCACGGGTCTCCCAGCTCTGACACCCCGACCCATAACCTTTCCCACTGTCATTGAGATCCAATGAACTCAAAGCCTTGCTGTGGCTCACGTCTCCTAGGAAGACCCGGGGCTCCACGGCAGCCCCCAGGCCTTCAGGCTGGCACATCGGTCTCGGCGGCACATCACTCTGCTGCCTGTCTGACCCCAAGCAGCCTACATGTCTGTGCTCCTGCTGACCCAGCATGCCAGCCTCGCCCTGCACCTTTGCTGGCCGACGGGACCCTCTGACCAGAGGCTCGGCTGCTCCCAGGACCACACCCCTCCGCTCGCACAGGCCCACAGCCTCTGGAACTCCCCAGCATGGCCCTTGTCAGGAAAATTCCCTGACAGTTGTCCAAATCAAACTCTGCTCTCTCAGGGAACAAAGCAAAGGCATTTCCCAAATTAAAGAGTTCTTGCCAACTCTGGAAGAAGTTCTTGCCTGTCTGTCTCTGGGAGACAAACCTCAAGGGCCCAGTCTGGCCTTATTTCCCTTATCTCCCAGGCACCTAAGTGCTTGATTCCATGGACGTAGGCTGAATCAATGGCGCAGAACCTACATATACCTCATAAACCTACGGCCTATTAGAAAAGTCATGACCCACTTTTCCCCTAACACGTGAACATTCTATAAAGTTTCCACCCAGCACTCGGCTCTGGTGTGGCTTAATGGTGCCTGGGCCCAGCGGTAAGGAGGTTACTCTACAAACACGAACACAGCAGAGCCGCTGCAGCAGGCGACAGCGCGTGTCCCCTCTGCGTGCTTCTCCAGGTCTGATGGAATCAAAAGTGGGTTTTGATATTTAAAAATCCCAACAGCTAGCAACCCAGTCGCGCCTGCTTTCAGAATGTCTGCACTGTTCGGTGACTCGTGTGCACTGGACATTCCAGATCCTTCCCTCAGGGACCCCCGGGACCCAGGGAAGTGGCAGGGCCGAGCCCTGAGCCAGCACCTTGCTGCAGTGCAGGAGGGTGTGCGCCCCCACATCCTTGGCAAACTCCTCCATGTCAAAGTCAATGTCGTCGTACAGCTTGTGCTCCTCTTCTGTCACAGCGGCCACAGCCTCGTTAATGCCGGGGATCAGGATGTTCCCCCTCTTGTCCACTAAAGAGCCTGAGGGAGGCGGGAGAGGGTTACAGCACTCAGAGGGGCTGCGCAAAGGCAAACTGCTTTTTCCTGCACCAACCCCAGGTGCCTGGCTCGGGAGAGACGCAGCTTGGGCCCCACAGCCACGTGGCGGAGGGAAGGGACAAGAGCAGCCACCACGGTCCACAGAATAATGTTCACGGACACGTCCCAGCATGCATTGCCTCTCAGGTGCTGTCCAGGGCCTTAGGCTCAGCCAGTGATGTAATCAGCAGAGCGGCCAATGAGGGAGCAGCTCGGGCATGCCCATTTCTCAGATAAGGAGACTGAGGAGCAGGTGGGGAAAGGGAATTGTCCTTGGTCACGGACCAGGAGGCAAACCAGCAGACTGGCTTCATGCAGCCCCATTCTGATAACCACTGCACTGCCCATGTGCCTTTTTACTGTGCATTCCACAAGAAACAAGCTGCTCCTGAACTGACGGGGGGGAAACTGTGGGTGTAACAGAGTGGACATCACGCAGGTGGCTGGCGTCTGGTGGGGAGGAAAGGAGAGCTTGAGGGGTAGTGCGGAAAGAGAGGGCTGTGGGCGGCCTCGCCGCAGGAAGACGCTGGGAACAGCGCGATGGGGTGCTTGCTCTCCAAGAGCTGATCAAGCCGGGGGACGTGGCTGGGGCTGGTTATCATATAAGACAGACCAAAACACGTGCCCTGCGAGAGATGTCAAACGACCACATCCAGAGGAAGGACAGCAGCACGTGCCTCGAGAGGCCTGGCCAGACAGGACCCGGGGGCATCTGAGTTGGCTGCTGGAGGCAGGGCAAGGTTTCAACAGGTGGTGACAGGCACGAGAGGGTTTCAGAGGCAAAAAGAAAACAAGGGGGCCTCTCAGAGGGACAAGTGAGTGGAGGGAGGGGGAGGTGCAGTTGGAAACCGAGACACAGGTTGGTTCATGTGGAATGCTGAAATGCACCAAAGCTGGAAATCACGCCCGTCCACTTTCCCTTAAACGGCGACTGACCGCCAATCCTACACTTACCCATCAGCAAAACGAGATCAGTCATGGCCTCATGCACCGAGCCCCCATACACCCCGGAATGCAGGTCTCTGTTGCTGCACTCCACCTGGACGGAAACAAAGGCCGCTGTATCTGGCTGCCTAGTGGGAGCTGATTTTTGTCATGTGACAGTGAATTCAACAAAGGGCATTTACAAGGCCTGACAATTTTCCAAATCAAAATCTGCTGTCTCAGGGAGCAAAGCAAGGCATTTCCCAAATTAAAAACTTAGGCAAGAACAAAAATACTCTTGCATATGCCAAGCACAGATAAGCTGGTAACACTAGCCACAGGTACAAGCATTCCACGGGGCAATCTGCCTACCACTCAGAGCCTTTTCTAGAAGTTTCATGAAGACTCTGCACCTCTGCTGAGGGCAGCCCAACATGAATGACACCCGTCACAGGCCCGGAGCCCAGGACTTGAGGTCAGACCTCAGCCTTGCACTGAGCAGCATATACCCAGCGTAAAGCAGCTGCCTGCCGCGTACCCGGCTCCTCGCCTGCAGATGGGTAGAGGGGCAATGCGCCTCCCAGCACTGGGGGTGACATGGGGCCACCTATGAAACCAGAATGGTGCCTTGCTCAGAGTTAGGGTCCAGGGTAGCAACTGCAGTGATTTCTAGCACTGTTCAGGTTATAAATGTCGTCTGTAGACAGGACCTACTTTAATCACACGTTACCCTGTGGGGTATTGGGAGATGGCCACCAGCCAGTGAGCAGCAGAATCTGGCCCAGGCCTGGCCTTTCCCATGCTCAGTGCTGCTTTTTTTTGGAAACAGAGTTTTGCTCTGTCCCTCAGGCTGGAGTGCAGTGGTGCAATCTCCACTCACTGCAACCTCTGCCTCCCAGCTTCAGGCAATTCTCCTGCCTCAGCCTCCAGAGTAGTTGGGATTACCGGTGCCCGCCACCACGCCTGGCTAACTTTCTGTATTTTTAATAGCGATGGGGTTTCTCCATGTTGGCCAGGCTGGTTTCAAACTCCTGGCCTCAAGTAATCTACCTGCCTCGGACTCCCAAAGTGCTGGGATTACAGGCGTGAGCCACCACACCCAGTCCAGGTTTCTCTTTATCCCATGCAGTCAGTCACTTAGTCATGGGACAAGGAACCTAAGTGTTAACGTATAAATATTTCAACTTTCAGAAGGAAGTGTTTCTAAAATGCTTTGTATGTGTCTGCATCTTCCGAAATGAACTAACAGTTTATCTCCTCTCAGCTGCTCCAAGGCAGCATCGCAAATCCCACTGCCCTAGCTTGATGCTGCTGTGAGAGTAACTCCTGATTACTGGAGGTGCTGCTGTCCACCTGGGGTATGGAAGCTGGGAACTGGGGCGCTAAGTGAGCCCTGTGCTTCTCTGTCCTGTGTGTCTGACTTCTGGGTCCTCGCCTACTTTGGGTTTGGAAGAACGAGGAGACTCAGAGGTTAGAGAAAAATGAAACCGTAGAACTCGGCACTATACCTCGATGAAGAAGTAGCAGATGCCCCTGAGTCCGTAGGTGATGCAGGGCTTCTTCTTCCCCAGCCAGTAGTTGTCAGAAATGCAGACGTAGTCCACGTCCTTAAAGAAGCTGTCTTTCCGGGCGAAAATCAGCTCGTCTAGGCCCTCAGAGCCTGACTCCTCCATGCCTTCCAGGCAGAACCGGATGTTGACAGGTATCTCCTATGAGAAGGGAACAGCACGAGCAGATATTCAGCTTTGCGAACTTTCCTTCTAGAAACTACACTCAGGATTACACATTTCAATCTCCGGCCTTCTCCAGACTGACCACATGGGCCTCTGTGTGCACCTGTCATCACCCTCTCCCCAGGCCCTGCCAAGGCCACTGTGGCTCCAGGCCACTTTGACCAGTCCAGTCCTGCCAGGTGGGGCTCTCTGCAGCCACCCTGCATGACCAAGGAGAGCTTCCAGGAAAGCCTGTGCTGCTCCCTCTGCAGTACGGGCCACGACACAAAGAACACCATGTGAGTCCTGATTATACCGGGGGAGCCACTGAGGCAGGTGGCGTGGGTCCTCCCATATGACCTTGTGCTGCTCCCGGGCACAGAAGTGCCGCTTTCCCTGAGGGGCCCGGTGGCAACCTGCACACCTCGCCGAGTGTCTGGATCACGTTTTGTGGCTTCACAGCTGCTCTTCGACTCTAGCCCCCACACCCAAAGGTGAAAAAATGACGTGCACAAAACTGGTGATTTGCCAAAGGCCACACAGGATAAAGAACAGCAGGGTCTAAATGAGGACTCGAGGCCACTGAGTCCTAGTTCCAGACCGCCTAGGCTGCCCCAGACGGCCCTGTTCATGGATGTGCTCCCTCGCCGGCTCCTCCTCCTGCTCTGCCCTTCACATAAACTCTCCCTGTGCAGAGCCACCTGTCATCCTCTGTTCCCTCACAGCCTGAGGTTCTCCACTGCAGCTGAGCTGAGGGCTCCACGGGGCCAGAGTTTGGGGGGCTCCCGAGTTTCTGCCCAGCACGCAGGCTCTGCTGCGCCAGGCCAGGTGGTTCTGGGCATCACTTTCCCACCATGTAAAGTGATCCCCTGGACCAGAAGGGCTGAGACCCTTTTCAGAACTAACTTTCCATGCTTTGACAAAAATGTTTATCTTATTCTTATTTCATCAGGATACAAGATAAAAGCAAGATGCAAAGATGTCTACACAGCATGATCGCAACTAGGCAAAAAGCAACAGAAAATCCTGGTAAATTTCAAAATACTAACTGTCTTTGGATTCTAGACAAGTATTTTTCTCTCTACGTGTCTGCTTTTTAGCAAACCTTGAACAATGAGCAGATATTTCACAGCTTTCTTTTGTTGAGGTAGAGTCTCACTCTGTTACCCAAGCTGGAGTGCAGTGGCACAATCTTGGCTCACTGCAACTTCCACCTCCCCGGTTCAAGCGATTTTCCTGCCTCAGCCTTCTGGGAGCTGGGATTACAGGTGCTCACCACCATGCCCACCTAATTTTTGCATTTTTTAGTAGAGATGGGGTTTCAGCATGTTGGCCAAGCTGGTCTCGAACTCCTGACCTCAAGTGCTAGGATTACAGGTGCAAGCTACCGCACCAGGCCGGAAAAGACATTTTAAAAAACAGCATTTATTTTCAGGAGGATGTAAACCACACAGAGAGAGTGAGGGGCCTGTGTGATGCCATAAAGCGTGCATTACATTCTGGCAAGGAACCACACTCACAGGGACAGTCAGGGACTGAAAAGTCACATTGTCACATTTCCTGAGGTGGCAAAAATCATGCCGAGTTACCAATATTATGACCTTTGAGCAGCTGTAAAACAATTAAACTCCGAATGTTTCCTAAAGCTGGAAAACAAACCTATGTTTGTCACCTGCGCTGATAAGGGCTGGGGGATGACCGTCTTCTCTTTTCCTGTGAGCTTTACAAGCTGTTGTGTGACCAGAGAGACGGTCTTCCTACAGCTCAGGTGGAACCCGGGCCCAGGCAGGAGTCAGCATAGGGGGCATACCTGGTCTGTTTTCTGATACGCTTCCAGGGCATTCATCCAGCCGGCCACAGGGCCCTTATCATCAGTTGAACCTCTCCCATACAGTTTGCCTAGAACAGCAATCCACAAATTCATACATTGATGATTACAACGAACCCAGGAGCAGTGTATCTCCAGTGCACATCTGATGACCCCTTAGCAAAGCAAACATGAGGGAGGCTTCCCCTTCCAATCGGGAGCCCTGAGTCTCCACCTGACACTATCATTAAATGTGCCAAAGAATTCACCATCATTGAAGAAATAAGCCACGTGGATGCTCCCATGTCACCCCTTCCCTCTCCCACCATGGTCACAGGGTCAGCAGGGGGCATGGCTTCCTGCTGGGTTAGGGTGGAGACCTCCAGTTCTAACTTCAGGAAGCTGGAGCCAGCTGCTTAGTTCATTAAAACCCATTTACCAGAAGCAGCGGGGAGCAACGGGGACTGGAAACCCAGGTGCTCAGGCACCTAAGGCACCTTTGTCAAAAAAGGACCATAATCTCACCCCCATCCAACTGTGACACTTAATTTGATAAAAAACAGAACTCGCGTGTTTATCATTTAGCCTCTACTTCTTTCTGTAGTTATCACTCTGAACACTGCAGACAAGGCACTGCTTCTCATCAGCGTCATCAGTCACAGTGGCCGCTCACCACACTTGCTTCTCAGGAAGCTGACAACACAAGTGACATCTCCAAGACCAGGCCCCACCCCTCCTTCATCCTCTGCCACATGGTCCACATGGAACCAGACTGAGGAGGGGGCCGGCCTCAGGGCACGGCCCTCTGCTGGGCCTGGGTCTTCCCAGCTGGTCTCCCGACCTCCCACGGCTCAGCCTGCTTCCCAGGTCCCGCAACCTCAGCAGGACCCAGCCCACAGTAGTATGAGGCTGAAAGTCATCACTACCTAGGGAGTTTTCTTTTATGAATGAAACACAACTTTTCGCAAAAACTGAAGATCACATATAAACTCTTCTAAAAAAAATCCTTATCCCTGTGACAAACACGGAACAAGTACGGTGGCTGGCACGGTGCTGGCTCAGAGCTGCAGACAAATGTGACCTGCCCCCACCCTGCAAGGCTCCCCGACAAGGAGAGGGAGGCAGCGCGGCCGCCCTTGGTACAGGTGCTATGTTCCCCGACAGTCAGGAGCCGCTGACAGGTGGTCGGAGGCAGGCCTCACAGAGGATGAGGCAGCGGTGATGGGCCTGACGCCCGTGCAGGTACAGTTCTGAGCAGCACAGGCTCCTGGGGGCTGCACGTGGTCCCGTGTGGCTGGGTACAGGTGGGAGAAGGGGAGGCAGAAGGCAGGCCAGGGGAGGGACCCTCTGTGCCATCCTGAGTCCTCCAGGGTGAGTCAAGGAGAGAAGTGGCATGCTGAGGTCACTCTGGGAACAGCCTGGTAAAGGAGTGGCACCGTGAAGGCTCAGAAGTGGGAGTGGGACCCAGCATGGGCTGGGAGGCGGAGACGGGGGCTTTCAACGTGGGAAAGGCAGTGGCCCGGAGGAAGGCTTGGCAGGGATGGGGACCCAGTTCCTGGTGCAGGTGGCAGAGAGATGGTGCCATCCATGGAGACTGTGAGACAGCGGACAAGTAGTAAAGACAAGGACTTCTGTTCACAGAGGACCAGTTCGAGCAGCGAGGGCCCGGCCAGCAGACACACCGGACCATGACCAAGGGGCATCCAAGTGCACAGAGAGGGTTAATCCTACAGTCGACCGCAAGTCAGCAATTCCACTGTGACAATGACAATGGCATGGAATTACACCTCATCAAAAACCTTGTCTTCGGTAAAATCGTTTTCAATTTTGCACAGTAATGAACACAACCGACACTGAGGCAGGAAAGGCTAGAGCACAGAGGCCATGATCCAGATGGAAGGACTGCGATGAGAAGGGGCTAGAACTTAGCCAGGAGGGGCCCGCCACCAGGGCCGGAGGAGTCCTCATCTGGTCAAATGCGGTCTTGTGCGGGCACATGTAGAAATCAGAATTGAAGGTGGAAAGTGGAAGGCCTTTACCCCGGAAGGAGCAGGAAGAAAAGAGCCTGGCCTGCGGGGTCACTCACAGCGCAGGGCCTCAGAAGGCCTGTGCCCGGCACACAGAAGCACTCAGTGCATACCAGTGACATTGCCACCGCCACCAGGGCAGCTGGGGTAAAGGAGGCCACTAACATACACCACAGAAGCAGCTGTCGGTCGGGACAGAGGAGGGGTATGAGGGGATAGGCTTTTCAGGACAGCCCTGCCCCAATTTGAAATGTGCATTCTGAGAAGAAGCGTCAGCAGGAGAGGAAGCCTGGCTGGCCCCAGTCACCCCCAGTCATGGAGAACTGGTTTACACACATGAAAACAGGCTTTCCGGAAGGTCAGCGACAGAGGCACATGTGAGAAACCTCCATTTCTAGCTTATGTTAAAAACAGTCTGTACCAGGTACAGTGGCTTATGCTTGGAATCCCAGCACTTTGGGAGGCCAAGGTGGGTGGATCATCAGGTCAGGAGTTCGATACCAGCCTGGCCAACATGATGAAACCCCGTTTCTACTAAAAATACAAAATTAGCCAGGAATGGTGGCGCATGCCTGTAGTCCCAGCTACTCGGGAGGCTGAGGCAGAAGAATCGCTTGAACCCGGGACACGGAGATTGCAGTGAGTCAAGATCTTGCCACTGTGCTCCAGCCTGGACAACAGAATGAGACTTGGTCTCAAAAAAAATTAAAATAAATAAAATAAATAAAATGAAATAAAAACAGTATATACTGGAAACAGAGAAAACCAGACTAGCACTGACTTTGCAAAGGTCAGTGCTTTTCCTCTGGGTACACACGGGTACACAGTGCTCACCGTCTCGCTCCACCAGGGTGAAGGGCTCGCTGTCCCATCCATCCTCCAGGGCTGCAGGCTGTACATCCAGGTGCCCGTAAATGCACACCGTTTTCTTCTGTGGGTCGGAGCCCAGACTGCCGAGCAGAATAGGAGGGAGCGGGATCTCCGAGCCATCAGGCAGCTGAGTGTGGAGGGGAAAGGAACCAAGGACAGCTTTTGTTGAAGAAATTCAGTATTTACAGTGGAGATTATTAAAAGACTGAGCTTCTTTATCTGTCCTCATTAATCAACCTCTATTGTAGAGTTTAAGAGCACACTGTTCAATGGAGTCACTAATTAAAAATTTTCTTTCTTATACTCCAGAGCACATATACTCAATCATGTTTGCCAATTGCAGGCAGTTTGGGAAATTCTTTTATTTATTTATTTATTTATTTATTTTTGAGAGAGAATTTCCCTTTGTCACCCAGTTTGGAGTTCAGTGGTGTGATCCCAGCTCACTGCAACCTGTGCCTCCCAGGCTCAAATGATTCTCATGCCTCAGCTGCTAGAGTAGCTGGGATTACAGAAGCCAGTCACCACACCTGGTTAATTTTTTGTATTTTAGTAGAGACAGGGTTTCACTATGTTGACCCCACGAATTCCTGAGCTCAGGCAAACCACTTACATCGGCTTCCCAAAGGTCTATTACCAGCGTGAGCCACCGCACCCGGCCGGGTTTGTTAAATTCTGAAAGGCTGATTTTCTTTGACTTTTATATAACAAATCGTGCAGGCTGAGTTCGGGATGCAACTTAGTTTATTTTCTGAAATCATGGTTAAAATCAACTATAATCTGAAATCAGAAGATACGTTTTTGAAAGTCTGTAGATAAATTACAATTATGCATACAAAGGGATATAAACCTATATATATATATATATATATATATATATATAATCTTTATACCTAAATTTACATTTAGCCATTCTCAAAAGGTAGTGATAGCTGATACTCCTTCTGCGCTTTGTCCAAAAGGCACTATCAGTGTTCCACAATCTCACAGGCATGGAGGACGGGAGAGGCGTCCCAGCCCACCCCTGCATCTAGATGGAGGCAAATCCATCTTAGGTCTTTTCTAACTGTCACATCAGGTCAATGGTCTTCACCTGTCACTAGACCGTGGCCCACTCGGGCTGTACAAAACTCCTGTGGCCATGTAGCCCCTCTACCGGTCCTATATTCCAATAGAAAAAAAACCCATGATCATCACAATGTGTCACAAGCTAGTGGCAGGGGATGGTTTTAGCTGTGGCAGGAAGAGACTGCTAAACCATGACATGCCTATATATTAGTCTAGTTACTAGAAAATATTGCTCATAAAAGTAGGTATTAATAGACACATCACACAAACTAAACTGATAATGAAGCTAAATTAACAGTTTGCAATTCAGAGGTCAAAGGAGCAGTCACTGATATGACAACTGGATCAGGACAGTGCTGGTGACGGGCCTGTGGTCTCAGAGGACCCACGGCCCCGGCAGCCCTAGTTGGCCCTCAGCGCCTGCTTAGAAAAATCATTTTCAAATGATAACAGAGTTTCTCTAAATAAATTCCCACGCAATATAGAGTTCCTCTGAAATACTTTAGCATTTTCCAAGAAACTGCTTGGGCCCAAGGGTAAAATTGTTCTGAAACGCCCAACATCAGCTTTCCTTAATGAGCCTGAAAATACTCTTGACTTCTGCACTGACATAGGAAAACACCCATCTCCACCTTCACCGCTGCATCAAGTCACCATCACTCTGAAAAACGGAATCCTACCGCCACACGGACATGTGGGAAGACAAGATGTGTGGTCACCCCACACTGCAAACGTCTCTGCAGAAGATTTCCACCAGTGAAATCCTTTAATTCCTTCATAAAAATCAGTGTTATGTAATTCAAAATAGTATAACAATAACCTGGTTTTTAATGAAAGCCCCTTTCTTAAGAACTGTACAGCACTGTCAGTGATCAATGAAGTAAATATAACCATTGTAATAAACAACTCCTAAAAATGATTTGCTGCACCTAAATTTTTTAAATATATTAGAAAAACAAAGGAAAGGGAGCAAAGTGAGTCTGACCCTAAGAAGAAACAACATGAAGAAACTTGGTTTATTCTCTCAAGAGTGGGGGAAAAGTTGTTGGGAAGCTATAACATACCCTAAGTCAATTATTAAATTTGTTTTCGGGAGAAAACCTCCAATGAACAGCACCGCCTGGGGAATCGGGAGGCCTGGGCTTGAACCTGCTCTGAATGAGCTTTCTGTGGGCTCCCAGTGGACACTGTGCCCGGCCTCCATTCTCCCCCACCGTGAAACTAGCGCACTAAACTGAATGGCCACATCCAAGCTTCTAGGGCTGTGATTTCAGCTTGACACCCAAATCATCAGGCCAAAGAACCAAGATAAGCCAAAGATTGTTATTAGATCAAAGAATATAAAAGAATATTACAAATTTAGAAAAAATATGGCATGAAACATGCAATTAACATGAGACTGAAATCATCTGAAATAAACAAGTGAAATAATATACAGTAAGAGGCCAGGCATGGTGGCATGACAATTTGGGATGCCAAGGCAGGTAAATTGCTTGAGACTAGAAGTCTGAGACCAGCCTAGAAACATGGTGAAACCCTGTCCTGACAAAATATATATAAAAAAAAAACCCAAAAAACAAACAAAAACCATATACATACATACATACACACACACACACACACACACAGTAAATCCTCACTCAACTTCATGGATAGGGTTTTAGAAACTGACTTTAAGTGAACAAAACTACCTTATTCAAGGACCTGTTGTTGTACGTTGTCTTGCTTGAAATTGCAGTTTCTAAGAACCTATGGATGACATGAGTACTTACTGTACCACAAAGTGAGATTGTTCATTTAGGAAGCAAACAAACGATTCTTACCTGTCAAAATCCTGCATTGAAAAGCAACCGAGCGCCAAACAAAATATCTCTTATCAAAAAGTGGCTCACACCTGTAATCCTAGCACTATGGGAGGCTGAGGCAGGTGGATCACCCAAGGTCAGGAGTTCGACACCAGGTTGGCCAACATGGCAAAACCCCATCTCTACAAAAAATATAAAAATTGGCTGGGCGTGGTGACGCACATCTGTAATCCCAGCAACCCAGGAGGCTGAGGCAGGAGAATGGCTTGAACCCGGGAGGTGGAGGTTGCAGAGAGCTGAGATCACGCCATTGTACTCTTGCCTGGGTGACAAAGGGAGACAGTCTCAAAAAAAAAAAAAAAAAAAAAAAAAAAAATGCTCAGAGATGCAGCACTGTGGTGAGGCTGGGGGTGCTGAGGGGAGTCTTTATCATTTTTCAATGAACATGGATAAAATGTAACTCCCTAGTTTGTATCATTTTTCAATGGACATGGACAAAGTGTAACTTCCTAGTTTGTATCATTTTTCAATGGACATGGATAAAGTGTAACTCCCTAGATTTGTATCATTTTTAAAATGGACATGGATAAAGTGTAACTTCATAGTCTGTATCATTTTTGAATGGACATGGATAAAGTGTAACTTCCTAGTTTGAAAGGTTACTGATGATGGCTGGGAGGAGAATCTTAGCAATTCTCTGCGAATGACTGTTACATTAACTTAGTCCTCCATAACTGTCAGCAGTTCTGCTTCCCGGAGAAAAATGCTGAGTGCCACAAAACCTTTGCCCCGATCCAACTGAAGCAGTCATATACAGAACTTACCACCCAAATTGGGCACATCCTTTTTTGTTTGTTTTAAAGATGAGTGTGCTATCTGAAGCAAAAGATCTTTTAAGAACTTCTGGAGTCTTGTCAAGCCCTCAGGCAGAATCCGTGGTCCTGCAATGCAAAGAATGCGGCCTCCCACCTTTTGTTTTCCGATGTCCACCAGCTCCACAGAGCCGCCCAACTGCCTGACGTCTGCAGCGGCAATCTCCATCATCTTCCTGATTTCGCCTCTCTTCTCCGGCCACGCGGACACACTCTGGATAGACACCCATTTTGCAAGTTTCTGTGGTGGACAACAAGCAACGAGGGATTCTGAACGGGTGTCCTTAAGGGAGAAAAGGCTTCCACAGTGTCGCCACGTTCCAGGCACACATGGCTGGCTTGCCCTCCGAGGCTGCTGCACTTGAACAGGTGAACTCCAAGACGGACAGACCCATCACAAGTGCTTTGTGTTTCAGATTTGTAAAATTGTTTTTACTATCCCTGTACCAAGAACTAGAGTACGCAAGAAAATTGTCAGAAGGTTTATTTTTAATCATTAAGGAGGAAGTGAATGTAAAATGTATCCGCTTCCCTAAGTGAGTTTTCATCTGAATCAGACTAAATTACAACTGAAAGATAGAGAAAAGACCCACTGTCACCACAGTCCAAATTAGCTGATTTATCACCCCGACAATAGCCATATTTTCCAAAGTATAATTTTTAGAATGAGAATTCTAAAGATTTCATCTGAAATGTGTCTAAGAGGAATAACTTTAAAGCACAATGCTGTAAGTTAACATCAAGAAACAGACTAATATATAACATTATTAAATGACTTAGAACATGCTTAATGTAAACTATTTAATCTGTAACTGTCACATGAAATTGATGGAGATGAAACAAAAATCTCTATTAGATTTGCTATTCTTAGAAACACATATTAACATTTTCTGTCAAAAACCAGAAGTGTAACCTATATCATGAGAAGAAGCTAATGGAACAAATCTCTAGGCAGATTGTCTAACCCTGGATTTAAATGGCATAATTCATATTAGCTCTTGACAGTTTCTCTGGGCCCCATGGGATTAAATCAGATTTTAATGTTCCTAAAATGAATATTCCCTTACCTTAATGTAGCGATCCTGATTTTCATCAATATACTTAAACACGGTAGCGAGGGCCGCCATCTTTCAACCAGACCCCAGAACGCAGATCTTGAAGGTTCTTGGAAGGAAGAGGAACTGGTCAGTCCTGTCTCTTCGTGGGGACTGACTGGGCGACTGGCCCAGAAGGCACTTGTTCAGAATTGTAAAGTGCTGCTCCACCCTCCAGGCCAGCATTGCAACACCCTCAGCCAGAGAGGCTCCAGGAAGTGACTTTAATAAAAATGTTTACACTCTTAAAGCACAAAGATAACTTCTACTTTCTATTATCCCAGAGGATACAGTCTCTTCAGGGAATCCCAGCAAAAATGTCACATCTCGTGTCCACCACCACAAACCCATGACACAGATGACAGAGCCCAAGGAAAACCAGATTCCATTGAAGAAAACTGATGATCTTAGTCCAGACACAGCCAAAGGGCAACCGCGAAACCTCCACAAGCACCTCACCAAGAGAAGAGGCCACACGGCCTCTGGGGTGCATGCTCTCACCTGCTTTCATGCATGACACCCAGCAATTTCCGCCCCACTCACAGATACAGGCAAAAACACATTATCAGACTATTTTTAAAAGTCAGAATTAATGCAACATAAAAATGATTCTGGTATTGGGACTTTCATAATTAGCTTTCTACAGCAGAAAGCACCCAGCTATACTGAGCAAATTCAAGACTGTGGGGACATGAAGTGCTTTGAAATCACAGCTGTGGAGTGACAGGACCCTACTACAGCCCTGTGTCTACATGCCAGACAAACGACCTCTGCCAAGCTACCTGTGCACTGACGTGCTGCAGGTAAAGAGCATTGTTTTCTTGGCATAGGATCTCAAAGTGATTTCTAAACAGAGAGGAGACTTTATCCACCATGACACCCAGTGTGGCAGCTGTTCAAAAGTGCCTGTTGCTGTGCAGGGTGATGAAACCGCAGGGCACTGCAAGTCACAAACATGATTTCTATATGGGTGGGAGATCCAGCCGCTGCCTTCTCAAGTGCCCTCTACCTTCAAACACCAGCCACAGAGCATGAAATATTTACATACCTCCCAGCCAGCTCGGATCTCTCCACTGAGGCACTCATCTGGAGGAGCCTCAAGTAAGATGGAGCCCATGAGCATGTTGGAGAGATGTTTTTCAGTGTTAATAAATCAAACTGTTCTCCACCTGTTGCCTAAAATGTACACAGGGAAGTCACCTCTGCACATTAAAAGAAATCCTATTTAGCAGGACAATATGCTACATGTGGTGATTTTCGTTCGGGTTTCCAGTTATTAAATGCCACAAATCCCAAGCTCACTGTGGAACATTCTCATTAATATTATGCTCTTGTAGTCTAATTAACCAATGGCATTGTAGCTACAGTCACTCGAAAATATAGTCATGTGCCATCTAACATTTCCGTCAACAACAGCGGTGGTCTCAAAAGATCATGATGGAGCTAAAACGTTCATTTTCTGTCTAGATATGTTTAGACACACAAATACCTACCACTGTGTTAAAACTGCCCACAGTACCCAGTAAAGGAACGTGTTGTATGGGTTTGTAGCCTAGGAGCGATAGGCTATAGCATACGGCCTAGTGTGTAGAAGGTTGTACCATCCAGGTTGGTGTGAGCGCACCTCAGGAGGTGTACACAACAGCCAATCACCTAATGATGCATTTCCTCAGCATGTATCCCCATCCTTAAGTAACATATGACTGTAATTATCTAAGTTACAACTTCCACTAAAAGAGAGGAAACAGAGATCAGCTTGTTCCACCATCGGAGATGGGCTAAAAAGCAACTTCTGTTAATCACTCATCCAGTCAAACCAGGTTAGGCCAGGTTCCAGTTTCTCCTCCCACTCACTCTTCCGGGTTCGTCCTGTCTCACCTCTGCCTGTTACAAAGCCATTAAATGGAACCATTTTATATGCTCTGGAGAACACCACTAATTAAGGTAAAGGCAGTATGCTGGATTGAGCAAAAGCAAGCATTATATTTTCAAATGATACCTCATTCCCCTCTAAAAATCTAAAGTTCATAAGGAGTAACTTTATTTATTCATTTAGAGACAGGGTCTCGTTCTATTACCCAGGCTGGAGTGCAGTGGTGCAATCTTGACTCACTGCAACCTTCGTCTCCCAGACTCAAGCGATCCTCCTGACTCAGCTTTCCAAGTAGCTGGAACTACAGGTGTACACCACCACACCCAGGTAATTTTTGCATTTTTTGTAGAGACAGGGTTTCGCCATGTTAGCCAGGCTGGTCTCAAACTCCTAGGCTCAAGCGATCTGTCCGCTTCAGCCTCCCAAAGTGCCAAGATTACAGGCATGAGTCACTGTGCCTGGCAAGGGAGTAACATGATTTGAACATTGAGACTAGTGGAGGGAAGGAGAAATTGCTGCGGCACCTGGAACTGCCAGCAGTACAAACAAACGAGTCTTCGGTTCTGAGAACCTCAGTCCCTGTCCTTTGATAACTGAAGGCGTATATTACACAAATAACTAAATCACATTTTCAATTCTGTGTAAGAACCACTAAGAGAGGGGTAGCAATCTCCAGTCTGCCCAAGCTAGAACATGATCCCTAAACATAACGTGAACTTCTCTTTCTCCACTCCTGCCTACAAACATTAGGGACAGGGAAGGTATCAGAGCAGGCCCCGGGTTCTCCGCCTCTTTACACAGTCTACGCTAGGATCTGACCTTGGTAGGCAGTGAGGAGGAGTAGTTTGGTGGCCCTGTCTGTGAGGTCCAAGTCTCAAGGGCATTCGTCCAGGCAGACCAAATATTGTCTCTATTTCACAGATGAAGACATGGAAGCCCACTGAATGAGACACCTGCCCCAGACCTGCAAGCTGGCAGGGAATTTTGTCTCCCCTCAGATGCTTCCTCCTATAGCCTTAAACTCAGCCTCAAATGCTAGTGGGAGCTAGAGACCCAGTCCAGGGCCCTTTGAACCTGGGGCGCGTCTGTCCCGCCACACCCCCACCCCAGGCCTCCGGGAAAGGGATCCGTTAGAGAAAGGCTGCAGTTCTTAGCAGGCCTCAGGGGAAGGGTGTGGACTGACCAGCGCTCTGCTCCCCGCAACCGCATTCTGCAACCAGAGTCGTTACACGACACTCCACCAGGGAGGGCCACGCAGGCCCAGGCCAAGTGCGCCGCCCAGGTTGTCCCTGCGGACCCGGGACGCGCCCGGCGCTGCTGGGACACGAGTGGCCCGGCTGAGCCAGGCCCCGGGCCCCGGGAGGTGCGAGAGGCCACGAGGCCATGGCCGTAACGGGCTTCCGCCACCGACCGCGCGCTCGGGAACAGCCCGGACACTATTGTTCCCGCCTGGCTGCGGCCGGGCGCCCCACACTCCCCCACGAATAAGGCGTGACTCTCGCCGCTGCCCCCGGTCCTCCCGCCCAGCCCGTTCCCCGCTCAGGTCCCCCACCAGGGAAGGAAGGCCCACTAGGCAAGGCCAGCTTACCAGCAGCAGGCGCTGCGCCGCTTCCGCACCACGTGTTCCTGCCACGCCCCCCGGCGCCGGCCCAGCCCGCGGTCGCCCTGGCCGCCGACCCGGCCCTGTCCTGAGGGCAGGCATCGCCCCGCCCCGCCCCGCCCCCGCCACGCCCACCAATCCGGCCAAGGGCAAAGGCATGGCGTCACCCACTCCCCGCCCCATTTCCGTCCTGAGCCCTGTGCGGACGGCTGACGTCACCTCTCCCAGCTCTATTACCGCCCCGCCCACCAATCCCAGCCTGGTCCATAGGGCTTACGTCACTCCGCCCCTCCCCGGAGATGGGCAGGGATATGGGCGTGGCAAGGGCTCGGATTTACCGGAAGGCAGGGCCCAAAGGAGCACGTGTCCGGAGCTGTGGGGTTGCGCTGTGTTTCTCGGTCGCTCGTGGGTGGGCCGAGGGCCTGGCGCTTCAACGGTGGGGTCCGAGAAGTCACCTGCAGTGCAGCAATGGCGTTCAAAACTGGAGGGGTCCTTATCCACTCCTGCGGGTCACACAAGCTCCAATGAGAGGTCGGTGTGTACTGGATTGGCAAAGCGTTCGCCAGCACTGTCACCGATAGTGGACATATTTTAGTATTTGTGTCGCATGACCCTAGGAACTGATGAAGGAAGCAGAGCTGGCACCGTGGTTGAGCGTCTGCTACAGCGCTTTCCTTTTTAATCTTTACAATTCTTGGGGTTAAAATTGTTATTCCCTGATCTGCTCACTTTGCCGATAGAGTAGTCTCAAAAGAATTTGTTAAAACTTGTACCACTACCGGAGAGGGATAACATGGGGAGAAATGCCAGATATAGGTGACAGGGGGATGGAGGCAGCAAACCACATTGCCATATATGTACCTATGCAACAATCCTGCATGTTCTGCACATGTGCCCCAGAACCTAAAATGCAATTTTATATATATATATATATATATATATATATATATATATATATATATATATGTGTGTGTGTGCGTGTGTGTATGAAACAAAACAAAACAATCAAAAATCTTGTACTACTATCATATTCTTTAAAGAGTGATTGCTCAGGGGTTATTTTTAAAAAATAAATTTAATAGCTGTAAGAGATGTGTAAGTTCCCACATAATGTAAAATGCTAACATTACCTCCCCCCTTAAAATTTACATGGTTTGTTTCCTCTTTTATTTTTTGTTTATTTAAGGTTTTTTTTTTTTTTTTTCTTTCTTTAAGACAGAGTCTTGCTCTGTCACGCTGGGGTGTATGGTGCAATCTCGGCTCACAGCAACCTCCACCTCCCGGGTTCAAGAAATTCTCCTGCCTCAGCCTCCCGAGTAGCTAGGACTACAGGCATGCGCCACCACGCCCAGCTAATTTTTGTATTTTTAGTAGAGAGGGGCGTTCACCATGTTGTCCAGGATGGTCTCGACTTTTGACCTCTTGATTCACCCACACAGGCTTCCCAAAATGCTGGGATTACAGGCGTGAGCCACAGCACCCAGCCTCCTCTTTTATTTTTTATTTCCATTCCACATCTCTCAGAGTTTTGTTAAATGTAATATTTTTATATTTAAAAATCTTATTCATATCCCAAACATTTTTCTCCACAACAGAATATGATAAAAATTTAAATTAATATTTACTTTGCTATAACTCGATGAGATTAGTTCATGTTCAGGGTGATATGGCCATAGACACTTTGCTATAACCAAAAAGCGGTAGTATTAAACTTTTTTTCTTCTGCATTAAATTCTCATGACAATTATTAGTACATGAATGATAAAAAGAAAAAACTAAATATATTACACACTTTGCAAACATTGCAAGAAGTAAACATTGGTGGAAAATACATCCTGTAATCATATCTACTGGGCTTTTAAATAAATTAGTTCAGGTATTCATAAATGAGATTATTGCTGAAAAGAGGGTTTGGTTAAAAAAAAAAATATATATATATATACACCCCCCCACACACATATATATACACATATATATAGCAAAAAGAAGTGATTTAGCATAGAAGCCATAACACACTATGTTACCAAAATTTTATAGGTTCAAGGTAAGAAAAAAAGAATGAGCAAAGAAGTTGTTGAGAACTTGTTAAGAGCAAACAGATGCTTGAGCCCAAGTGAAAAACATGAATGTGCATTTGCAATACTCAATCAGTGTTGACAAAAATTGGTGAAAATATTTCTCCTATGAATCTGAATAAATGTTAAGAAAATACAAAACCAAAATTTACCCTTAATATAGAATGCTGTTACTTGGAAATATGTTAGTTGTCATTATTCTTCTGAGAATAATGCCAAGTTAGTACCTGATCAGTGTCCTTAAGGAGTAATCTTCCAGTGACACTGTGTGGCATATCAAATTGTCCCTTTGTCTGGGGCATGACAGGCTTCAAGAGTTGATGACATACAGCATCAGGAACAATGCCTGGCACGGAGAAGGTGACTCATGAGTATTAATTACTTATCCCTGTGCAGGGACCAGGACTGCTAGGAACAGGAGAGCTTGGCTGAGGTCAGCAGGTCAGCTGCACCACCCACATGCTCTAGGAGAGAGCAAGCCCCTGGAAAATTTGGGCAGCTGGAGGTTGATGCCCTTCTGAAATCTCTGAGTCCTTAACTCTCCTTGCGCCCTGAGTCAACTGTCTCAGATGGCAAGGTAAGCAGCTGGTATTGGAGCCTGTGTGCTCAGTTCTGACTCTCCAGCAGGTGGCCCTGCACGTCCATTGCTTCTTAAATGACGCTTTGCAGGTGGCTCAGTGGCAGCAAATCTGAGCTAAAAGAGCGACAGATACGTTCCTATTTCTCTCTGCTGATTTTGGGGCCAACAGGGACATTATGAGAGAAAACAAAGAAGTATGTGGAGGAGTGGCTACAGGTTAAGTACTTCAGAAAGAGAAAGGATGTGACTATTCTCAGAATTTAGGGAATGCAAACATTGTAAAAGTCACTACTGATAACAGATCCACTCAAAATTATTTCAAAATAAAAAATTAATTTAACATTACGTGATCATTCTAATAAAAACACCATGGTACAACAACAACAAAACATTAGCTCATGCTCCCGACTGCTGAAATGTTTAGTTCTCAGCATGAGATGGAATTGAGTCTTCAGAATCTGTCATGTCTGTTTAACCAAACTTTTTTTTCTTTTGGAGATAGAGTCTTGCTCTGTTCCCTAAGGCTGGAGTGCAATGGCATTATCTCAGCTCACTGCAACCTCTGCTTCCCAAGTTTAAGTGATTCTCCTGCCTCAGCCTCCTGAGAAGCTGGGATTATAGGCATGTACTCTCACACTCAGCTAATTTTTATATTTTTAGTAGAGACAGGGTTTCACCATGTTGGCCAGACTGGTCTCAAACTCCTTACTTCAAGTGATCTGCCCTCCTTGGCCTCCCAAAATGCTGGGATTAGAGGTGTGAGCCACCACACTTGACCTGTTTAACCAGACCTAGCTAAACACACAGACAATGGGAGCATGCATTCCCCTGGAAAACAACTTTTCTGGGAACAGAGACCACTTTGGAAAGTATAATGCTTCTCCAGAAACCCATATTCAGGGAAACAGTTGGAAATTATGTTAGAGAATC